ATGACCGTGGTCAGAGATTAATATATAATTATATTTTGAGAAAACCACTTTTTTTATTATATTAGCATCAAGTCGGAAGTAGTCTGTTCTCGAATAAGATTTATGCATTTGAGAAAATAATGAATATTCTCTGTACGTCAGGTTTTGCACTCTCCAAATACCAACCAAATTTGTGGCGGTCATCAAATTATTCAAACTAATGGAGGGGGAAGTAGGTGACAGATTTGATTGTGCTGATATATCCAAATGAGTATCAAGCACACAATTAAAATCACCACATATGATTCGATGTCTATCAGAGACGTCAGACAATAAATTAAATATCTTACAAAAAAAAGCAGGTTTGTCAAAGTTTTGACCATAAAAATTAAGAAGTGTGACATGAAATGAGTAATTGTAGCCAGTTCCCAAGATAAATGAGCTATTTGAATCACTCATCATGTCTGTCTTGATTGTGTTCCAGCCCCACCTCCCTCCCCTGTCTCAAAGTGTGTAGTCACCCTCACTGTCCTGTCTGTCCTGATTGTGTTCCAGCCCCACCTCCCTCCCCTGTCTCCCCACCAATCAGATCACACAATTAGTGTTGAGTTATTGAATTTTTGTGCTTGTCACAGATTGTCCATGACCAATGCTTGTTGTTCAAACATAAGAATGTCCTTATGAGCATTTGGCACTAGGACACCATAGGCTGGAGTTTGATGACTGACTTTGTGATTTTATCATCAGATTTGCAGTCGCATGTTTTGGACACTCAGATTAAGAGTGGGGCAGAGTTGTACAAATGATTACTACCTGCTGTTGTGTAGGCTCCAATGGCAGGGGAGGATCCCTGTTAAGGATCTGCTGGGAACATATGGCAGAATTTCAGCTCCCACTTCAGGCAGAACTTCACCCACATCCCGGGGGAGGCCAGAAACATGGAGTCAGAGTGTACCAGTGTGTCTCCATTGTTAAATGGACGCTCAGTGGCCTTAAGTTGGTTGTGGTGACAATCCCCAAAACTGTTGGTGTTCACGATTGGTGAGAAGATTCTGTAAAGCTGAAGATGTGTCCTATCAGGCATTTTTGGCCTGTGGGACTCCAGACGCAGCTAATGAGTACTGGCTGGCCAATTGGAATACAGCCTTGACGGTCACCGAGATGAGAACTCGGGCATGGGAGGAGTTAACTTCCGGACAGCCAGAAGAAATTCTGGTGCACCATCCAGCATCTCAGGTGGAAGAAGTAGTGCACCGTCAACACTGTGTATAGTGGGAATGGGGCACTGCTGATCTCGACTCGGGAAGTCGTGAATCAATATTGTGTCGCACGGCAGAATACTTCTAAGACCTCCTCAATTCCACCCACATGTCTTCCCATGAGGAAGCTGAGTCTGGGATCTCTGAGGCGGGCTTTCCTACCTCTGGGGTTGAGGTCACCGAGGTGGTTAAAAAGCTCCTTAGTGGCAAGGCCTTGGGTGGTGGGATGCCTAAAGTTCCTAAAGGCTCTGAATGTTGTGGGACAGTACTGGTTGACACTGCTCTGCAATATCACACAGACATCAGGGCAGTGCCTCTGAATTGGCAGAGTGGGGAGATGGTTCCTTTTTTTAATTATTAAGAAAGGGTGCTGGAGGCTGGAGGGTGTGTTCCAACTACAGGAGGATCAGACTCCTTAGCCTCCCAGTCAGTCTGTTCAGGGCTCTAGAGAAGTGGGTACGTTGAGAAGTTGAAATGCAGATTCAGGAGCAATTTATGTATTTTGGACCTCCCCTGGTAAATCAGGTATGAAGTTGCTCAGAATGAAAACAAAATATAAAAAATAAAATAAAAAAAATTAAAAAAACATTTTTGGTAAAACTATTCTATTGAAGAAGAGCAGTTCAGAAAATGCATGGATGTATCGCTGTTGGAGCACAATAAATTACATGTGAAGGAATAAATAATTGTATATTTAATTTTATGACTGAATTCTCAAAATGACATGGCTGATGCAATATATTTATTAAAATAACAGATTACGATTATACAGTCATGATGATGTTGGGTAATTAAAGAGTTTGCAATTTTTTTTTTCCCCCAATCATTTTACAAAATTTACTGTGGGGTCTCGTGGTTAAGTTCTTGACAAAAGGTAGAAAATGTGAAAATTCAGGCAAATTGTTCTGGAAGTGATTTTCGATTGGCTGGCAGCTCTGCAAAACTCTCAATTTACCGGTCGATCGATGCTCCCACCCTCACCTATGGTCACGAGCTGTGAATTATGACCAAAAAAAATATGATCCCAGATACAAGCAGCCAAAATGAGTTTCTCCGGGTGTCCAAGTTCTCTCTAAAACCTGGATTATACAGCAACATTTTAAGTGTTGACTTCCACACTCTGACACCACACACATGATGAGGGGGGGTGGGGATCACTGTTTTAACAGTTTTGAACATACACTGTTGCAGCCACACAGCAAAATCAACACTTCGTGCACATGAACCGATTTCCTTTATGAATATTCGCACATCAGACAGGAAATTTCACAAAAACTCCTGAGATTAAACCTGACAGAAGACTAAACAAACATGGCAGACAAAGAGGAGGCAGTGTGATAGTTCATGGTTTGTTTTTAGCAGAAAAAAAGCAATTGAAAGAAAGCCATTGGTCAAAGGAGTTGAGACAGCACGAGCATGTACTTTTTGCCGCGCCATTTGATTTTGGTTTTCCTGCCTTGCTACCTTAACACCTCATCACTTTCTCATTGGATGCACATCACTGTCAACCGGCTACGTGCTTGTTTGTCCTTAGGGCACACCACAAAAAGTCAGAAGTTAGGTGAAAACAATCCAACATGTTGAATATCCCCTATTTGAGAGGAATGGCCCGAATGTCCTACTGAGCATTCAAGATCAGTCTGACCACACCACACACAGCAGAAATATCTGTTCAGAAAAAACTTTTTGAGCTATTACGGTAATTGGAGAGGTCTTACGATCGTCGAAAGGCGAGATTTTTGGCTGAAACCAGGCTAAATATCCTGCTGTGTGAAACTGGGCTTGATAGATAAAGTGAGAACCTAGGTCATCTGGGAGGGGTTCAGGTTGCTCCTGCACGCTTCCCTGGTGAGATGATCTGGGCATGTCCCACTGGGAGGAGGCCCCAAGGACGACCCGTGACACGATTGAGACTGTCTCCCGACTGGCTTGGGAGCACTTTATGATCCCCCAGGAGGAGCCGAACGAAGGGGCTAGGGCAGGGGTCGGCAACCCAAAATGTTGAAAGAGCCATATTGGACCAAAATAAACAAAACAAATATGTCTGAAGCTGCAAAAAATAAAAAGCCTTATAATGAAGGCAACACATGCTGGATGTATCTATATGAACTACATTAGCCTGCTGTCAACATGACTAAGTTGGCTACAAATACACAACATGCATTCATGATTAAAAGTTTTTTTTTTCCCCCTGCAGTTCATCCTGTAGAGGAGGGGTGCCCAAACTTTTTTGACGGAAGATCTACTTTTCGAACGACCAACCTCCCGCGATCGACCCGTTACCGCACACACACGCATACGCACACACTTACACACGCATGCCGTAATGAGCAACAGCCAAGATGAACGAGGCACAGGACGCACTTTCGCAGCGTGCTATCGTAGCTCACGTGTACCGTTTATAAATGCTTCTCTTGGCCGCCCAGATTCCCATTCTTAGTAAGTACCCTCGGTGAATTGTACATGAAAGGCAGCTTTTTTTTTTTTGTTTTTACAACAGCCCCCTGACTGACATCCCCACATCTCGCAGGCTTTTTACAGCATCGGAAAATGTTAATAATGTTTGTGTCATGTCTGTCCTCTGACAGAAACCATATACA